CGATATGGGTCCCGTGTGGTACGTAGCAGAGGTTGAACCTTCGATTCGGCGACTATTGGTCGGACCCGTTTTTGGCGTCTCTTGTCCAACAATGGTTTTTTGGAGCCGCAGACGAGGCTTAATAACTGGTGGTCCATTTTCCAACTGTCTATCACGATGTCTCCAACCAACGGGATGCTTGGCAGTAATAATGAATTTGAGCGCGGCGACCGTTGTGGTATGTTTGATGTTATTTATGTTGTGTGGGATATGCGTATGGAGGCATGTACATGTGCCTTTGCATTAGCTCATTCCTTACCCAAGCTTATGTTTACCTTCGGTGTTGTTGGGCGTTCTTCAAGCTTCGTGTTCGATCGAGGACGGAGCGGGATACACTTCTCCAACGGAAACAGGTCGGATTCGAGGCCGAATCCTGCTCCACCGGGGGAGAATGATGGAGAATATATATGATTATTATTATTATTATTATTATTATTATTATTATTATTATTATTATTATTATTATTATTATTAGCTTGGAAAATAAGTTATGTTTAGGGTTAGAGTCTTATTTAGAGGCTCATTCTGCTCTATATTGGGAGAATTGGAGAATGGATTAAAATTATTCGTGTTCTTTCTGGAGAGTATCCCAAGTTCGAGAGTGTATCTCGTATTTTTCCCATTCGTTCACGCTTTCGCTACATCAGCTCTGCTCCATGTAAACCAACTTTTCATTTATACCCACTTTCGAAACCTATCATAGGGCTTTCAGCATATGTCCTCACTCTTAATTTAGTTATCTCATTGCAGCTAGGCAATATCATGTGAGTGGGGGTTGTCATACCTATTAAATGTGTTAGTATGGGGTGCAATTTCCTCTTATTATTAAAGCTCTATTTATACGAAGTAGACTATCTCTCCTCCAACCTCCAAGTCTCGAGATACTGTTGAGATCCCACCAATTTCGGGTAAGATCCTTTCCAAGATACCTATATAACTCATAAATCTACTTTCCTTGCAAAGTCTTCCTTATTCAAGATTCCAAGCTCTTCTAAAGTCGATTGCCTTGAACTGTGGTACATATTGTGAACCATGCCAGCTCGATCATAGTCCAATTAATCAAGGATCATTGCTCGAGCCAATCAGGGAGTGGCTACTGCAAGCGATGGCAGTGAGGGAGAACACGACGAAGGCGGCAGACGGAAGCAGGGACTACAAGATGGTGGCCACGACAGTGGTGACGACGCAGTCAAGAGGGAGAGCACCGTCGTATGAGCGGGGAGGGAGGGAGAGAGCGGGGTGGGTGGGATGGGCCCACAAGTAAAGATTAATCATTTTTAATTTTATTATAAGTTGATATATTATATATCGAATTAATAAATTTATGATGAGTTACGATTTGACATCTATATTGTACATATAAATAAATAAATTATTACAAGTTTCTATAATAAAAATTAAATATTCAATTAATATTATTTCAAACAAAATAAAATTATTTAAATTAATATTTTTTTATAAAATAGTTTTTTTGAATTAAACAATATTTTTTATTTTAAATTAACATTTCTTAAATTAAATTACATAAAATTATTTAAATTAATATTTTTTAAATTTAATATGATTATTTAGATTAATATTTTTATATTCAATAGTATTATCTAAAATTAAATACAATTACTTAAATTAAATAATATTTTTTAAATTAAGTAATATTATTTATTTATTTTTTGGATAAAATGGTCATTTCATCATTGGGATATAAAAATATCTCACCTACTTGATGAGATTGAATTATCCAGCCACATATGCATCTTCGTGTGGGACCAACTTGCCACTTACATGTCACATGGGCTAAATCCTAGTCCTAAGAGCATCCACAATGCTTTGAGTTCTTTCAAATAATATATAGGCTAGATAGAAAATAGACTCGGTCAAGAAAAATATAAGCTCCAATGCAAATGCAATTGGATTGGGTCCTGTTGATATGATAACAAGAAAATGAGAACCGATCTACCCTTGAGTCTATTTTAGACTCAAGTAAAGACTCAGTCTCTTTGCATTAGAGTTAATTTCTTTACTTTTTTATATTTTTGTTCATGTCATCCAAGACGTACTTCTATTTACGTGTCATTTAAGCAAAACTAGACTCAAAACATTGTATATACTCTAATCATGAATAAGAAACTCGGGATAAGATTGGTTTAGGCTGGTATCTCATCTCATCTCATCCTGGTAAGTAAACGTGGCCATAGCATATATTTCTTTTTTCTATCAATATACTTAAGCCGGACAAGAGGTCCAATCCGCAACAAAATATTCAAAACAAATATCTATAATATTCTAAACAATTCTATATCTGGAGGGGTACCTCAAAGAAAGAAAATTTTTTGGAACCGTATTGTTCGAGATGGAAACACTCTTCCGGTTCGGTACGAAAAAATTCAAATATTTTGTTCACTCCTAATAAATTTGGACAACGCATAAATCAAAATTGAATCGCGTGTTTAAGGTTGGAAATAACTATACTGGCCACAATGATATTTTGTCGAACAAAGCTAATTAATAATCATATATTGCTCTAAAAAAATTAGCACATAATAAATAGAAGAGACAAAATGTCCAAAAAAGCAGTCTGATACTAGTATGTTTGTTTCTGCATGTAAAATTTGGCAGCATTTATATGTTATATCCATGGATATATATCTATTTATCCAAATTTGATCTCATCTACTTTCTTCTATTACTTATTTTTCTTCTTTTAAATCAATTATCACCGGTGCATGATAATCTTAAAACTAAAGGAAGGCTAGACATAGATAGAACAAAGAATACCAAGGTCTTATTATCAAGTTCAGAGGCTATGCCGATTCTCAAGAATCTAATTGTTTCGCTGATCGTTTTAGTTCTCCTATCTTATGGCCTTGTTGAAGCTAATCATGAGCAGAAGGTATACTACTAATCCACTCTCTTCCATAACTCGTTCGACTGTTGATCTCTTCCATAACTCAGTTCAACCGTTGAGCTCATGAACATGATACATGATTATTATGCAGATGAAAGCTAACGATGGCGGGCAAAGTCCCGGGATCGCGAAAAAGGGTATTCTACTTCACTCTAACACAACTCGCGTTCTTCTAACAAACATCATATGTACTTTTTCCTTAAGTCTCAACACTAATTTTGTGAAATGATGTTTAAAGCTGGAATTTAAAAATGGGAAAGAATTCTTACTTTAGAATTCTGATTCTGCTTCTAATCCGACTTTATTCAGATTGTGGGGTGGCGTGTGCCACAAGGTGCCGGTTGGCATCGAGACAGAATTTGTGCAAGAGGGCTTGTGGGACCTGCTGCGCTCGTTGCAACTGTGTGCCACCAGGAACCTCTGGCAATCAACACCTCTGCCCGTGCTACTATGCTATGACTACGCATGGCGGAAGGCGCAAATGTCCTTAAAACTAGCAAAAAGAACAACAGTATGTGTTCATATGTAGTGTATGGTTAGATTTTGTGAAATATTTTCCTTTTTCTTTTCCCGAGGAAATAAAGAGCCCCATCACCATGTAATGGGCGGGTGTGTACCTTGTGTATCTTGGTTTACTAAAACTAGCCTTATGTTTCCGTGTAACTACAAAGAGCAGCACATTTTTCTCTCGAGGTTACACAAACCTCACAGGAAAAAAAAAAAAGCACACCCGAATGCAGTTTAGAAAGATAACTGGGCGGTTAGGTAACTACCGAATGTTCAGGGGCCCAAAACTCCAGGCATGCACAAAGCACAGATCATCAATCAAATTAAATTTGGTATGCAAAAACTCGTTACAAAAAAGAGCATCAAAAAAGCCAAAACAAAGACTCGGCTAGGAGGTAAAGAACGCACATGTCAAAATATTAAGCGGATGCATTTAGGTTTTACGTAGTTACAAAGTGCATGGGCTTGACCAACATCCTGAACACTGGTACAAATGATCTTTACTCCTGCTTTTCCAATTCTCCCATCCTCTCAATGATTGCCTATAGAACAAAACAAAGAATATTGAAACAATATTAGGGGGTGAAATCCTCTGACATAACCACACTGTTATATGTTTTAATAATGAGGATCTGTGTCTCGCTACAACTCATCTAGATGAAAACAAGTGATGGGGAGGTACAACAGGTACTCGGCCATGCATAAAAAATTATAGCAATGGTTTTTCATTTTTTCCATCCATGTATCATCAGGTAGAGGTAAAAGGCAATATACTTACCTTTTTGCTCGTTTCTTGCAGTTCTCCAGCGAGTATGAACTCATCCAGTATGAGATATACCTAAAGAAATATCACCAGTGTTTGAAAGTGATCCACTAAGATGAGAAAATTTTGACAGTGATGCACTAAGATGAGGGGAAAAAAAAAAAAATCACAGAACTGAGAGAGTAAATCTGATTTCTGGGGTACTCCTGCATAATACACAATTTTGTAGATCATAAAGCACTTAGTTCAACCAACAACACGGACCTTTGAACTTCAAAATCCCATCAAAGGAAAATATAAACCATATGGCATAACATTCATTGAAACTAAATGGACCATTAATTCCAACAAAACCGAGCAATACGGATCCGAAACAAATTTTATCCTTGGTAATAATCCTAAGAGAGACTCAAAATGGTGTATCTAATTTCAAAAGATCCACAAGGATTGGTGAAGGAACATCAAAAGGAGAGACTGAGCAGTTTACCTTGTGGAAATTAAAAACCAAGTCTAGCTCGCACACGTTGCTGAAAAAATGATCGAGTATCTCCACGAACAAGTGAATGGATTCCAAATAAGCTAACTCATTATCCGTAATGTCTACACACAACGAGAAAAATAAACCGGCATATCGCCTGTAGATGACCTTGTGGGTCCGAAACTGCAAGAATTAACAACCCATTACGATTATCACACAAAGTATAAAGTGTAAAATATATACAACCTGAATAATTATTTCAACAAAAATTTCTCTCGGTTTCAGAATAAGGCCTACTTGATTTACCCAACATATAAATGGATCATAAATAAAATCTACAAAATTCATCATATCATGATCTTCATAGTGTAAGTGTATAACAATATCAAATTACTTTAAACCGAATAAACAAAGGTTAAAGGACAATGGTACTAAACTGAGAGCTGGCTAATATACATCTATATGATTTTACCTCCACAAAGTTGGTGAATTTAGGATCCCTGTTCACGACTAATCGATGAACCTGCAATAATCAAATGTAAGAGAAAATTAAAAAATAAAAAAATTCAAGAACTCGAAAGCAAGCTGAAAATACGAGATGTTCATAGTAACAGTAATAAAAAAGGCAAGATCGGTTCTTTTACCTCGTATTCAACCTTATGCTTCTCGGATTCCTCGAGAGGAATGTAGTATTTGGCTAATCGAGTTTTTCCCTGCCTGTTCTGCAATAATATGAATCGGATCTGCAAAGAAATTAAAAGCTTATCAATATGCGATGCGAAAATCTCAAAAGAAAATAGGCACAGGCGCGACCATTTTCTTCCAAAGATGTTTGCTTGAGCACCAGTCGATACTCCAAAGTCTTCAAGTTTTTGGAATTTCTGGGAAGTGAGTCGAGTGTACAGCTGAAATTGTGGAATTGCGCGAGCGAGGACACAAATAGACCGCCGGTGGATTGGAAAATAAAGCGTGTTTTTCCTTGAACATTAAGGTGTGTGTGTTTATAAATTTATCCATTTCATGTTCAATTTATACTCCAGATATAACTTAACTTTTTTTTTTGGTACAAAAAAAGGAGGCAAAAGCCTAGGATCCTTTGACAGTTATACTCTGCTGGTAAGCAACACCAATGAGATCATATTGTAACCACGGTTTAACCATCGAAGGTGGGTATAATAAACGTTGATAACCACTCGGCCATTGATGCTCTAAGGACGCCAAACAATCGGCCGCAAAGTTCGCCTCTCTATAACAATGAATCACTCTAGTCTCCCATGCCCGGTTAAGCAACTCTCGAATGGCTGGGACCAAGCTTCCATGAACTCCAAGGTTCTCTGTTAAGCCCCCATTCGCCATTGACACCACGCTTTGATTGTCTACTTCAACGAGGATCTTTCGATACCCCAAATCTCATGCAAGTAGCAGACCTTGAAAAAGGCCCCACAACTCTGCTCCCGTGATGGAACAATACCCGATATTCATTACGAACCCCCAAGCCAATGCCCGACTGTGTCACCAATCAAGCGCAGACGCCATCCCAGATGAAGTCAAAAGTGACCCGTCCGTATTGATTTTAACGACTCCAATGTCGGGAGATTCCCACCGAATGAATTGGATTCCTCGTCCGTCACCGAGGCCTGCCAAGCGTTTGTCGGCCAATGTGACACGTTTTATTCCATGAAAAAGAGAGCGAACCTCCTGAATTTTATTGGCAACAATGAACTCCTTATCGGAAAAAATCTTCTCATTCCGTCCCTTCTAGAGTTGCACACGGTAACACCAAAGACAGTCTCCCAGACCAAGACCCCAATGGCCAGTCCGTTTTGAAGGTTCTAGAGCAACCAATCCCGTAGCGGCATGCTAAAAAAACTCTGAATGGCGATTAGCAGGGATCAAGCTCTGCCAAACCTGCTTTGCACCTACACAATCCCGCAGACACTGACCAGCTAGTGTGCAATGACGACCGATCCTAAAGTCGAGCTTGGATATTGAGGATCGATTCGTCTCGCCGCTCACATAGTGTACACATAGACGACTCTGTGAGGTGTCGCCATCTCCTTTCAACGTTTGTTAAGAGCTTTCCTTGGGCCGCAAGCCAAAGAAATTGACGAACTCTTTGTGGGCCCACCCATTTCCAGATGGCGCGCCATAAGATACGATCGGAAGTCGGTTGAGTATGCACCAAAGACGAGTAAGCCGATTTTGTTGTGAAACATCTATTTTTCCTAAAAATCCCAGTACATAGTGTTAGGCCCATCCAGCCGGGATGGTGGCGGGAATGCTGCAATGCGAATCAAAGTACCGGTCGACACCAGATGGCTAAAAAGTTCCCACTTCCATTGTCCCGATGCATCGACGTAATCGCTAACCGTTCAGTCGAGTTGATGATCTGGAATATGGCCCAACACCTCGTAAAGAAGATTTTGGATGTTGTGTGTCCAAATATCCCGCCAAACGGACAGTTGCTCCATCGCCAACGGACAACCGCACACCAGAACACGCGAACGACTACACCTTACTGATGGCTCGGAGAAGGGTTGAGCCCTTGGAAAATACATATTCTGCCGTCATCACAGTGGGATTTAGTTTATACTTGGCAAGGAGGAGCCAAACCCATAATCCATGCAATTTAGTCAAGAGGGACCAACCAAGCTTCATTAAGAGGGCGCTATTCATCTCGCGTTGTCATTTAATTCCAAGGCCCCCTAGCTCTTTGGGTAGACACACCGTATCCCAAGACACAAGATGAACTTTCATGTTCATGTTGTTTCCGCCCCACAAAAAATTATGGAACCGTCTTTCTAATCCATCTCATATCGCATTAGGTAGCCAAGTTGTTTTCATGGTGTAGAAAGGTAGAGAGGTAACCACTGACTGCATAAGAGCAAGACGACCCGCAAGAGACAACGTGCTCGCCTTCCATCCTGCTAACCTCACATCCGCCTTGTTGAGAATATCCCCATAAGTGTGATTGGTATCACGACTGTACAAAACCAGTACTCCAAGATACTTCCCGAGGGTGGGGGCGATCAAAAAACCCATATTACTAGCAAGTGATTGTTGAAGTCCAACTGGGACATTTCTCGAAAAAAAGACTTCAGTCTTGGCTTGGCTAATCTTCAGGCCTGACATGGAACTAAAATCCGAGAGTACCGAATGAACCAAATGCACTTGATCGTCGGCAGCTTCAAGGAACAATAGAAGATCGTCGGCAAACATGAGATTGGAACTTGAATCTCGTCCCCACCAACCTTCATCGATCGCCACGTCCCAGCGGAAATGTGACTATGGATTAAGTGGGCTAGTCTTTTGATGCACAACACAAATAAATAAGGCGAGATCGGGTCTTCCTGTCGCACTCCTCGATTAGGAAGAAATTCAGCACTGACGGCTCTATAAAAGCATAACTGTAATATCCCGTTAATTTCAGTATAAATTATATTTTTAGTTCCGATATTAATCTTCGGAATTAATTATTTTCAGTCTTTTCAGTTGAAATTACCAGAAATTATTTTCGACGTACCGTTTACGTTCGGAATAATTTTGGTAATTAAGCATTATGTTTAATTGAATAATTAAACATAATTAAGTGATTAATTATTAATTAATCACAAGATTAGTAGCATAACCGTGCGAAAAATTCTTATTAATTTTCCCAAAGCCGTACATTATATATGTATATAAGTAAGTGTTGGGATTTTTTTTTTAAATTTTCCTTCTATATAGCCGTGCCATTAAGTGGGATATAAGATGTGATTATCCCAATTTTTCTTCATGATAAAGGAGCTTAAACGTGGCATTAGGAGGGTTAAAAGGGAAGCTTAGTCATCTTTAAGATGTTTAATTAGCTTCCAAGTGTTAAGATTATAATAAGCCACATATTGTCATCATCATCACACCTCTCACGCCTACTCTATATATAAGCATAAGAAATTGGGAAATTTTCCCACTTTTCCCATAAGTTCGCTCAGCATCTTCCTCTCTAATACTTCCCAACACTTAACAAAATTCAGCAAAGTACCTTAGCTTAATCCTCGCACGGCAAGCAGCACACCTCGCACGGCGATCGTCGCATGGCAAGGCCACGCCCAAGCACCGCATATGTTCACGCATATCATCAGCCAATATATATACTCTAGTCCTTAAGTTCAGCAACAAGTAAGCTCAGCCTATTACACATCGCTCATCGGTCAGGAGTACGCAAGCGTCTACGAGTGTTGTAGTAGTCCGTCGCGCGTACCGTAAGCCACCGCACGGCGTCGCACACACGCGGAGGGTCACGGCCGAGTACGGGAGTTCGAAAAAATTAGTCACTTGGGCTTAATCAGAGGTAACTCCCGATGGTTGTTGACCAAGAATATCATGTTTATTACGTTTAATATCTAGTTAAACATGCATGCGTGTTATGTGTGGTATAAGCCGTAGCCGTGCCGATCATGTTATGTTCTAAATTAAATGCTCCGAACTATCCTTGCATATTTATCTTTTATATGCAAATTCATGTTTAGTTTAACCTAAATGTTCGGATGATTAGGCATGTTTGCGGTGTTGCGGCCAAAGGTGACGTGGTTGCGCATGTAGCG